TGTGGCCCGCGGGCCGTGGTTTGAGGGAGCCTGCTTTAGAGTGATCGTATCCTGTTTGTGAATTGCGCAGCTGTGGAACAGATCTGGCAGCCCACCGAGGTGGAGAAAAGGATCCCATGATTCACTAGTGTCCCCTCATCTCCATTTCCCAAAGCAATTGACGTGGGTATTGGTGGGGTGGGGGCTAATTGAGGCTAAACTGAGTGCTACAAACACAAGGTGGTGGTTGTCAGGACTGACCCCCCCCACCCCCCGCCCCAGTTGGTTCAGGTGCACAGTAATGTGACAGACGACAGAATAAAACACTGCAAGGCCCTGAGCCAGCTTCACAGTTGTTCCTGTGCTTGAGCCCTTTGTCGCAGCCATGGTGTCAGTCCATCTCATGAGGGTCTTCCTCTTTTTCGCTGCCTCTCCACTTTACAAAGCATGATGTCCTTCTACAGGGACTGGTCTCTCCTGATGATAGTCCAAGGTGTGGGAGTGAAGTCTCACCATCCTTGCTTCCGAGGAGCACTCTGGTGGAACATCTTCTCACGTGTTAGGCGTGAGGCTGAAGATTGATGAGGGACCAGTAGCACAGCCTCTCTTCCCAAAGTCAAGACAATTTCAACTCTGGGCCTGTGTCCTTGCTCTATAAGAGTTTGGCCATCCTGTCAAGTGTCAAGGGGTTGTGTGACATTCTTTCTGGTAGAACATTAAAATAGAGTCAATCCGATTCTAGAAATACACAAATTTTAATTTACAGAATGCATATTTGGGCAGCTTTAATAACTCGGCACGTTACTGTTAATGAGGCACAGTCGTCTGACCAAACTGCAAACTCACTGTCACCGAGTCAACACTGACTAATAGCATCTAAAGCACAGACTAGGTCTGCCCCTGTGGGTTTCCAAGAGTATGACTCCTTATGGAGGTAGAGAGTCTCGACTTTCTTCCTCGGAGAGGGTGGTAGTTTTGAACAGCAGACTTTGCAGTTTTCAGTTCAACCCATAACCCTCCCCCTTGATATCACCGGGGCTCACATCGGTCCATCACACGTGGGAACAAAACTAGATGGATGAGATTGTGTAGCTCTCACTACTCAGATTGGCATATCCCCCCACCCCCATACCCGCCTTGCCCTGGGGTCCAGGAGCTTCTGGGGTCCAGTTTAACCAATGTAAAGCACCAGCCCCAACAGTTCCAGGAAAGTAGGCATTGCATGCACTAAAATTGACCCCTTCAACACATGCACTTCCATTTTGAAAGATACACACAGTCACAAAGCAACCATGGTATTCATGAGGTAGACCATGGACATTACCCTGTGTGGTAGTGATGTAATCTGTTGTCAATTTGAGACCTAAGAGTGAAGGGGTAGAGTTTAGCCTGTCAATCAGGTAGCAGCTTGATGACCTCATTTGGAGGCGCTAAGGAGATAAATAGCTCGCTGGAGGTGGGACACAGGTTTACTCCCTGTGAGACATGCTTGCTGACAAGACACACGTAGCTACACTAGTGCCCTGAGCTGGAGGAGCCACGTGGAAACCTTTGCCAGTGCTGAGATGCTTCCACTGCCACTGGATCCACAAGAATTTCCACTCACTGGCCTGCGATCTTCCTGCATTCGGAGTCAATGCATATGTTTCGTGAGTCTGAAGAGGACTTTATGGATTGGTACCAGACCTAGGGGCTAATATCGGACTTATGGACTTGATCTGGACTGGGCTAGGATGTTTTCTCAAGAGTCAATTGCTCTTGTATGTAAAGTTCTTTCTTACACACACACACACACACACACACACACACACACACACGAATGTCTGTGACTTTGTTTCTCTGGTCCACCGGCCTCACCCCAGAAGCTCCCTCTGTTTCACTGAACCCACCCCTTCCTTTCATCAGTCAGGCTACTGCACTCATGAGGCTGATGGTCAGAGTTCCAGGCCCACCATTTCACCTCTGCAGTTTTACAGAAACGGAATCATGTTCTCCAGGTCTTGGGTGGGTGGCTTTTTCTGTTTACGAAGGGGTTGGATCAGAGGGCTCTGAGCGAGGTGAGAAGTCCCCAGCATTCTTATTGCCTGAGGAGAGCCTTCCTCAGTCCCCCCATCCTTGCGAATCCACTGTGGGTCTTCTTCCCGAGGGCTCCGCCGTACCCACCACATGCTCTCTTCAGTCTGGCTCAATCTCACGGGCCGATCCTTGCCAGCAGCAGAACCCTGCAGTTGCAGAACAGTCGGGGCCTGGCCGTCACCTCTTCCAGTGGGTCTCAAAGGTATTTGGGGGTGAGGGCGCCCATCTGAGGGCATTAGGCCTCCTTGCAGAGCTCTGGCAAAGGGCCATCTCGCTTCTTTTCAGTCACACGGATAAGAAACGCTGTCACTCCCATGACAATCGACTATAAGGTGGAAACATGTGGATAACTCCCTGGGTAAGCATCAGCGCCCCCCTCTCATCTCTCAACCATGCATGACACCTACCACCCACGCGAGACACTCTCTCTCTGACCCCAGAGTTTGGGCAAACCCCAAGGCTGACAGGATTGCTTGGGTACTATGCTTGGGGTGATAGATTGATTGATTGGACACGCCCCAGGGTTGCCATCAGGGCAAGAGACGCACAGGGGAGGCTGTGATGTGGATCATCCCAGACTAAGGGAAAAGGTGTCACCTCACGGCTTTGAGCCTCTGGGTGCTGGGCTCCTCTTGGCCGCGCCTTCAGGCTGGGCCTCCTGCGAGGAGCTGAGATCACCCTTGCAGGTGCGTCTTTCCTGCTCTGGCCAGAGCCCCTTCGCCAATGCCAATCCTCCCTGTGGCCTGGAAGGCCCGGACGGAGGCTCTGAGTGGCTCCCAAGGGCTATGTCTCAGGGACAGAGGGACAGAGGGACAGAGGCTATGTCTCAGGGACAGAGGGACAGTTCTCATGAGATAATGGGGATGAGGAAGGAGCCAAGGGGACAGAACGGATGAAAGCCTGGGGACCCCAAAGTCTCCACCCTTCAGAGCCCTGCCAAGAACTTGACGGAGGCTGCGGGGTGCAGGACAGGCCGAGAGGCAGTGACTGACCTGGGTCTCCTGGGTCTGGGACTTGCGGATGGGTTTGGAGCAGAGAAGCGTCCTGGGCCGACCGTCCAGGCTCTGGCCCTGACGTTGCTTCAAGCACACGTCTGCTCCATTACTGCGCGTGCACCCGTAGGTGGTCCTTCCAGGGGACCCCGCTGTGGTGGAGCCCCTCCGGAGTCTGCTGCTGTAGGGAGTCCTGACTCAGGGGTGGGGGTCCAGGAGTGAAGGTAGGGGTCGGGGTGTCGCAGGTTCTGCCCCTGCTGTGATCCTTCCCCATCCCCAGCTGCTCCGGAAGGGAGACTGAGAGGCTGAGGCTGGCGCTGCGGCAGGAGAGGGAGCGGCAGGACTTCGGGGCCGAGTTAATTACCAGCTCGTATGGCGGCAGGAAACAGGGCCCCCGCGGTCTAATTCTACCCTCGGAAACATTTGGACATTTTATGGAAGATGCTGCTGCCGTTTACGACAACGCACAAAACAGGTAATGGTTGAGTCAAATGAGCCGTGAGAACACGGTGACCTCTGCGCGTGCCATCCGGCAGCTGGTGGCACCGGCTGCAGAGGACGCTCGCCTCCGATCGCCCCCACCCACTGGGATTCCCCCCTGCCCTGCCCACCAGGGTGGCGGGACCCGCGCAGGGGAGCTCGTGGGCTCCTTCCACAGACGCTCCAGCAGGCTCCCCAGTTTGGGGGATAAAGAAGAGCCGTGTCCTCCCTGTGCAGCCTTGGTGCCAGAGGGCCCAGCCTGAGCAGCTGTTTGAGGACAAGAGAGGCCCAAGGCCCTGATGACGTGGGGAGCCGCTGAATGAGGACTCCAGGGGTGGGTCCTGAACCTGCTCTCCTAGATTTGCCGCTGTGGCTGTTGGGGGTCATAGAGTCAATTCTGACCTCTGCACAACAGAACAAGACACTGCCCAGCCCTGTGCCCCCCTCCAAAATTGTTCCTGTGCTCACCCCCATTGTTGTAGCCACTGTGCCAATCCACTGCCTGGAGGGACTTCCTCTACTCGACCAAGCTGGACGTCCTCTCCAGGGTCTGGTCTCTACTGACCACCTGTCCAGAGTCCATGAGATGAAGTCTGTTCATCCTGGCCTCTAAGGAGCACTCTGACCGTACCTTTCCCCAGACGGATCAGCCTGTCCCGTAGCCAGTCCGTGGGACTTTGACTATTCTTCTCTGGCACGAGTCAGACGCATCGGCTCTGCTTTGGTCTTCTTGCTGTGACGTCCCCACTTGCACGTGCACAGGAGACCGTGGGAAATACCACGGCTTGGGTCAGGCGCCCTTAGTCCTCCAAGTACCTGATGCGACCTGTGTGACCTCCTGACTGCCGTTTCCATGAGCACGGCACGACCCTTGACCGCACATGCTGCCCTGGTGCTTATTTGACCTGCTACCAGATCGTTTGTTTATTTGACAAGCTACCAAATGGGTTGCTGGTAGCTTGGGGTGAACTCCTTTAAATAACGGCGGAGGAAACAGCTCTGATGGAGACTGGCGGTTGGTCTCTGGGCACAGGTGGAATCGGGGCTTGGAGGGCTTCTGTCCAGAGTCTCTCCACCACTCCCACCTCCCTGCCTCCACTCCCTTCTCTGTTTTGCTATGCTCTGTCCAGTGGGCCACCTGGCCACCTGGCACCACAGCCACAGCTTCCAATTTCATCAGTCCTGGTCGTCCAGCCACTGCCACACAGTCCTGTGACCAGGGCTGGGGATGGATTGGGGGGAGGGGGCAGGCGGTGTGGCCTACCCCACAGAGCTGGGGATCCCACAGAGGGACACAGGAGGGGGTGGGCAAGGAGTGTAATGCAGGGCCAGGTGGTCCCGATTGTGGAAGGTAAGGGTCCAGGGCCCCCCCCCTCGGGAAGGAGACAGCCAAGAGAATACCCCCTGGGTGAACCCTTTCTCCATGAAGAGACAGATGATGCCACAGCCAGGGACATAGTGCTGGGGGGTGGGGGAGGGGCTGGGCAGACCCCCTAAGTGGGGAGGACAGGCAGGCTCAAGTTTCTTTAGGGGTGGGGTTCCTCACCAGCTTCAGGGCCAAGGGCATTGAAGGTCTCTGCCCAGGAGGAGATGGCTCAGGCCATGCCTCACCTGGAAGGACAAGGATCTCTGGTGACCAGGCACATGGGATGCCTATAGTGGGACCTGGTGGGTGGGGCCAGAGGGGTGGCAGGCTGCTCTTGGCTAATGGCCTTGAGGTCCAGAGGCTCTCCCAATCTTTGCATATTTCACTTGGACATCCATCAGGCTGGCAATGGGGGCCACACACCAATGACCACACAGCCTAGCCCTAAGGAGACCCCCTGCCCCTGGCATGTTTCCATTTAGCTATAGGCTCTCCATCACCCCAGGAGGGGTCTCCAGGCCCACCCTACATTCCAGGGATGGCCACTGGGCATCCCTGGGGACCTTGCAGGGAAGCCCCCCTCCCATGGCCCAGCCTTGGTTCCCAGCCTGCATTTTGTGCGCCCACACCCCCTTCCCTCCCTCGGGGATGGAGGGCAAGCATGTGGAGCAAAGAGGGCCGGGGGAGGGCTGGGGAGGTCCCCAAGCCCCTGGGTGGGCAATTATGCCGAGTTCTGGCTGTCTAATCAAAAGCACAGCTCTTTGGAAGGAGAGGGAAGGCAATTCTGTGATTGGTTTCAATTAAAGATTTGCTACTATTTGATTAAGATGTATTATTGATTTGGGATTGTTCCAAGCACACTGGGTGGCTTCCTGAGGGGGAGGGGTTTGGGAGTGATTGGTGCCTGGTTGGCGGGCATTCTGGGGGCCAGCTGTACCCCCAGCTTATTTCTTTCAAAAACTTGGTGATGACCCCACCACAGCTTGGGCCCGAGTGATCCAGCTTTCAGGAAAAGGTGATTAAAAAGAAAGGAGAGAAAGAACAGATCACAGTGGATGTCAGAAGAGACTCTGAAACTTGCTCTTCATCACAGAGTAGCGAAGGTGCATGGGAGAAATGAGGAAGTCAAAGAACTGAACAAGAAGACATTTCTAAGGGCAGGCTGAAAAGACAAAATAAAATACTATAATGAAATGTGCAAAGAACTAGAATTGGAAAAGCAGAAAGGAAGAACAAGCTCAGTAAATCATAAAGTGAAAGAACTCAAGAACATTTTAAACCTTGAGTTGCAATATCGATAGAATCTGTGAGCAAAGTATTAAAGGATACAGGAAGCACCAAAGGAAGATGGGAAGACTATGCAGTCCCTGTACCAAAAAGAATTGGTCGGCATCCCACCATTGCAGGAGGGAGCGTGCGAGCAAGAACCAACGGTGCTGAAGGAAGAAGTTCAAACTCCACTGAAAGCATTAGCCTAAAGCAAGGCTCCAGGAACTGATGGAATATCAATCAAAATGTCTCAACAAGCTGATGAAACACTAGAAGCACTTACTCATCTGTGCCAGGAAATTTGGAAGACAGCTGCTCGGTCAACTGACCGGAAGAGATCCATATTTGCACTCGTTCCAAAGAAATGTGACCCAACTGAAGGTTCACACTGTAGAACAATATCATTGCTACCACATGCAAGTGAAATGTTGCTGAAGATCATCCAACAATGGTTCTAGCAGAACATTGACAATGAGCTACCAGAGGTTCAGACCAGATTCAAGATAGGATGTAGAACAAGGGATAGCATTGCTGGTACCAGATTGGGTCTTGGGTGAAAGAAGAGGATACCAGAAAGATATTTACTTGTGTTTCCCTGACTATGCCAAGGCATTCGACTCTGTGGAGCATAAGAAAGTATGAATAACCTTAAGAAGAATGGGAATTTCAGAGCAGTCAATTGTGCGCATGAGGAACTTGTACATGGATCAAGAGGCATTTGCATGACCAGAACTAGGGAACACTGCATGGTTTTGAATTAGAAAAGGCTTTTTCCTCTTACCATACTTGTTCAATCTGTATTCAGAGAAGCTGGGTTATCTGAAGAAGTATGTAGCATCGGGATTGGAGGAAGGCTTATTAACATCTTTCCATATGCAGATGACCCACCGTGCTTGCTGACCGCGAGGAGGACATGAAGCCCTTGCTGATGAAGATCAAGGACTGCAGCCTTCGGTGTGGATGGCAGCTCAATGTCCAGAACACCCAAATCTTCACAATGGACCGATAGGCCACATCATAGTAAATGGAGAAATGCTTGAAGGTGTCAAAGCTTTTTCCTACTTGCGCCCACAATCAGCGCTCATGGAAGCAGCCGTCAAGAGACCGAAAGACAGGTTGCCTTGGACGCATCTGCTGCACAGACCTCTTCGGACCATTGAAAAGCAAGGATGTTACTGTGAGGGCTAAGACGCACCTGACCCACGCCATGGTACTTGCAGTTGCCTCATCTGCATGGGAAGGCTGGACATTGACTGAAAAAGAATCAATGCATTTAAAGCACAGTGCTGGTGAACACTATTGAAAGGACCACGGGCTGCCAAAAGGACAAATATGTCTGGTTTTGAAAAAGTACAGTCGGTGTGGTGCTTGGAGGCAAGGATGATGAGACTTGGTATTACATACCGTCGACATGTTGTCAGGAGAGGTTAGTCCCTGGAAAAGGACATCATGCTTGGTAGAGAGGCAGAGGAAGGGCCCAGGGAGATGGCTTGACATAGAGGCTGCAGCAATAGGCTCTAGCAGAAGAACAATCGTGAGGCTGGAGCAGGACTGGGCAGTGTGCTTCTGTTGCACACGTGTCAGAGAGAACAGACAGGCATGGGAATCATAGTCCCTGTACCGGTGGATAGGATCTTGTTTGGGTATAGGGTTTTAAGGTCGACTCTAGCACACTTGGAGGTCACTGAAAAAGAGGAAGATCACCAAAGAGATGGATTGGCACCGTGGCTGCAACAACAGGCCCAATGTCGCAAGGATTGTGGGGACGGGACAGAAGAGGGTGGTATTTTGCTCTGTTGGCCATGGGGGTCACTGTGGATCAGAACCAACTCGACCACACCTGAAAACTACAACAAAAGATCACACGTGCACGCGAACGATGACGGGATCTGCCCCCGTACAGATCTGCAGTCTCAGAAACCCTACACAGGGTCACTGCGCGTCAGAATCAATTCCATGGGAGTGGGTGAGTTGGTTAGGTTGCATCCCAAAGCTCTTCACTGAGTTCCAGGGAGCAGATTCGACAAAGAGATGGACTGTGAATAGGATATAGACGTCAAGGTGGACTTGCCCAAGAGCTAAGGAACAACTAGAGCTGCCAACCAGAAAACAGGGATATTGTGACACCCGGATTTGGACTTTCAGCATCCAGAAAGGTCACTGACCTGTGGCGTTTCTGTCACAGCAGTAGCACTAGACCGCCGAGAGGAAGCTGTAATGATTCTCACTTTACCAGTGAAGAAACTACACAGGAGATCAGACAGCTATCAAGAGAAGGGGTTGGGAGACGTCAGACAGTGTAAGACATGACAAAATAATAATAATTTATAAATTTTCAAGGGCTCGTGGTGGGGGGCGGGGAGG